CTGAGGCAGGAGAATTGCTTGAACTGGGAGGCGAGGTTGCAGTGAGCCAAGATGGTGCCACTGCACTCCAGCCTGGGCAACAGAGTCAGCCTGTCTCAAAAGAATAAAAGTACAAAAAAAAGTAAACCTCACCTTACCCTTGTCCTGTGCTATGACTCACTCTCTTTTTCTCTCTCATAGAAATGGGTGGATGCAACCCTCACCGCCTCCATCCTGGAGCTGGGACCCTGGAGCCCAGAAGTGCCCTCAGCCTGGAGGTGTACAGTTGCCACCTACACGGAGTCGGCCAAGAGGCTGCAGCTCACGGACCTGTGAGAACCAGCAGAGCTGGTGAGTCTGACAGCGCACCCAAGCCAGCTCCTGGGCCATGGCCCAGAACTCAGGGGGCTCAGCTTACAGTGAGGAGAGGGGACCGGCCCATACGGCCTGCTGTCCATCAAACAGTGACTGTGCTAGATGCAGAGGGGCTGTGTACCGGGCCTTGCAGCTGTGAGGATGACGGCTACCCAGCCCGGATCTGGATGCCGACCATGAGCCCAGCCCAGGCCTAGAAGACCCACTATTGGACCAGGGCACCACAGTCCTCTCTGGTGGCTGTGTCGCTCGGCTGGCAGTCCTGGGCTAGGAGGGCCCCTGGGAAGCCTCCTGGACAGACTAAAGCCACCCCTTGCAGATGGGGAGGACTGGGCTGGGGGACTGCGCTGGGGTGGCCAGTCACCCAGAGGGGCCTTAGAGAGTGAGGCAGGCTCGCCCCAGCCGGCCTGGATATGGACCCATTTGACAGTGGCTTTGTGGGCTCTGACTGCAGAGCCCTGTGGAGCCTGACTTCACCAGTCCTGGAGACATAGGCCCCCCCCGAGCTACCTCCGCCAGTGGGTGGTCATTCTGTCGCCACTCTAGAGCCCAGGACTAGGCCAGCTAGTGAGGCTGACTGGCTGTCCAGGCTGTCCACTGGCTATGGGTCCTAAGCCAGAGTCAAGGTCACTGGGGTGTGACTGAAGACACCTGCAGCCTTGGGCTCCCAGATGGGCCCAGTGTGATGTTTACATTTTCTGTGTGTGTGCATGTGCATGGTGTGTGCACGTATGTGCATTTGTAGGTGCGTGTGTAGGGCATGTGTGTGCATAGTGTGTGCGTGTGTAGGTGCATGTATGTGCATGTGGGGTGCATGTGTGTGATGTGTGTCGGTGGTGTTGGTGCATGTGTGTCTCAGGTGCGGGCACAGTGAACTGTCCATGTGTGTGTGTGAATGCACGTGCCGGTGGGCCTGGCCTGGAGAATGCCCATGGTACTCTATGCATTCTGGACCCAGGGAGCTCACCCGAGTGTAACCAGGGTGCACAGCAAACGTATCTGTGGGCAACAGATGACAACAGCCTTCCTTTTTTCCAGGGTCTTGTGTTACCAACTGGTCCACGGCCCCTCCAGGGCCTTGTGGGATCAGGGCATTGCTTGGGCAGAGGCCAAGCCCAGCCCCCAGCATCTGCCTCTAGGAGCTGCAAGATGTCCATACGGTTCCTTATCACCTGCCAGCAGGAAGGAAAGAGGTTGCAGTGAGCACACGGTGACCCCACCCCAGGGTTGGGAAGATTCGGGAGACCATGGAGGAAAGTCTGAATCCCGACTCTGATACCTTCTGGCTGTGCTACCTGAGCCAAGTCGCCTCCCTCTCTGGGCTAGAGTTTGTCTGGACAATGCAAAAGGCAGACCCACCTGCAGGAAACTGGTGATGTCACCTGCGATAGTATGCAGCCAGAGAGAGCCTCAGTATATGTCAGCTTCCTTCTTTCTGGGCCAACAGAGGCTTGCACAGGAGGTGGGCGGGGGTGACAAACACCCATCATCCTGACAGCCTGGGCACCGTGGGGCTGTCCTGCCTCCAGGGGACCACTTGGGGAGGTTCCAGGCTAAAACAATCCATCTTGTCTCTTGGAAACAGCTCCCCACCAACCAAGATTTCTTTTTCTGACTTCTGCTTCTAAGTTCTAAAAAATTTTGTTTGTGCACCCAAGAGATATTATAAACACCAATAAATGCCAGGTCAAGGCTCATGGGACCCTCCCCCGTGGCACTCATGGAGGAGGGTGCAGGCCGAAACCAGGCAGGGCTCTCCAGCCACACTTCAGGCTGTGGCCCCACCTGCCCCATTCAACAATTCAATTCCGGTCCCATCCTGGAGAATTAGAGGGAAGTCAAGTTGTGTGATGTCAATGATTTGTCACAGAACCTGTTGAAATGTAAATTAAGAAGCTAAGAAAATAATTCTTAGCAAACATTTTTTTTTCTTTTTTTTTCTTTGAACAGAGTCTCAGTCTGTTGCTCAGCTGGAGTGCAGTGTGTGATCTCGGCTCACTGCAGCTTCTGCCTCCTGGGTCAGGCTAATCTTCTGCCTCAGCCTCCCGAGTAGCTGGAATTACAGGCATGCACCTCACGCCTGGCTAATTTTTGATTCATATTAGAGACAGGCTTCACTATGTGTCCAGGCTGGTCTCAAACTCCTGACCTCAAATGATCTGTCTCCTCAGTCGGCCTCTCAAATTGCTGGATTAGAGGCAGCCTGGCACCTTAGCAACATTTTCAAGGCACTTACTAAATATTAGTTTAGTATAAAAGCTAGATGTAGGTGCTAGGTATTGCATAAAAATCATCTCTCTCTTCTCTCTTTCACTCTCTTCTCTCTCTACACACACACACACACACACACACACACACAGAACTTTTTTTAAGGAAATATGTTTTTTTTCCCCAAAGGGTGCTCATCTTAGAAAGTGGTGTTTGAAACCCAAGCAAGGTTACTGCAGCAGTGTGATTCCATCTGGAACCTGAGAGATGGACGGCAATAGCTGGTAATAGCTGTTGAGCTCCTGGATCAGCCATGCCTGAAAACCACATTCCTCCAGAATTTAGATATGAGAATGGAAGTCTTATGATGTTCACCAAATATTTCACCCTCTGCACCTGCACCTGCACCTGGGGTCTGGGGGCCTGGAGGAGGACCCCCCTGCTGGCCCAGTCCGCTGCCCCCACAAAGGCCAGACTGCAGGATGCAGGGCCATGCCAGGGGAGCAAGCTCTGGCTTTTGGAGCAGGGTTGGGTTGGAAAGTCAGCAGAGTCAGTCTGTCGAAGGCTCCCTCACAACTCATC